GGTTGAGATGTAGCATGAGATGTTGTCCTTCCGCCGTCTTGTCGCGCCGGTGGATTATGCCGGTTCGCGGGGGTCGTGGAAATGATGGAGTGTCCCGGAGCCGTTGTTGATGTTCCCGGCATTGTTTGGGCCATTAAAGCGGCAAAACCACGCGCAAATTCCGGATTTTGAAACAGAACAGCATAATCCGGCGCAGGTGGAGCCACGGCTCGTCGTCTGGCGGATTGCGCGGCGCTACGACTGTGGCCGTCTCGCGACGTGTGACCACGATGATCTGAGTGAGACATGGTGAATATGGCTGGCTGGTATGAACCGTTACGTGCAAAAGCAGAGATTAACCTCAAATCACTTATGAGGCCCTTCCTCTAGCGCCAAACTGTTGTTATGTGATTTTTAACAACGATATAACTTGTGATTAAGTGGATAATTTTGAATGATTTGGACGTAAAGCATGTAAGATTAAATCAACAATGGCCTCGGTCCGAGGTGAACCGAGGTGAAGAGCCGTGATGGGCTTTTACGTGTTGCTTAGTAAAGTTTTTTCAGTTCGGAGAGAGATCCTCCTACAAATGTCATGGGTCTGCTATTTATAGTATTTTCGGGTTGATACATTGGGATCTGTGCATTACTTTTCGAATAAAGTGACTTTTTGTGGGCGGTTTGGAGCAAGGGGTCCCACATAAATGATGACGGATCTTGTGGAGCAGGAGGGTTGTTCGTAGGCACCTTGTCACCTGCTTAAGGAGGTGACGATCTCGGTTCATGTTGACCTCGGTAGATGTTGACCTCGGTAGATGTTTACCTCGGTAGATGTTGATCGCTTCGGTCTTCGGTAGTTCGGTCAGGTTTGTCGCCTGAACCGGGGTGGTGTTTGAAATTACATCGGTTCAATGATCATCTTCCTTTTAATGTGTCGTTTGGAATCTCTTAATGCAGACTTACCGATCCGGATGATAACAGAGAGGCCCCCAACATCGATGGGCATACGGAGTGATGGTCGTTGATGTTGCTATGCTAGACGTTTAGAGACCCTGGATCGGTAAGAAGTCGGCGATAGGACGTGGTCTATGGTCTTCGGAGGGTCATCTTCGGTCTTCCGAGTCCGACATAACCGAAGTGAGTCATCTGTCCGAAGTGTAGACTGTATTCCGAGGTGAAGACACTTGGTGAATTTCGGATAATTTTCAAGCAGTCGTGGCAGAAAAGGTGAACAGTCGTAACGGTCAACGATTAAATGTTTGGACCGGACGGTCGCGCCGTAATGGTCTTAAATGAGGTAACGGTCGACTTTAATAGGTAGCCACGTGTAATAATAGGTGTCTTATCAGGTGAAGAGGTGGCGTCGGTTAGAATTAGGGGTCGCGTCGGTTCGACGCGCCCTCAATGAAGATACTCAACGGTCACAAATCGACGATTATAAATAGGGT